TTGTTTGGTTGAGAGTACAACCAATGGAGACAGTTGTCATTCACAGCCTCGATTTTAGGAAGCAGTTTAAATCAATGGGTTTAGTTTTGTTTTAAGAAGGCTCTACTGTTCTTAAAACCAATAACAAAAAACTGTTGATAGTCTTCTCTAAAGTAAGCAGCTATCTAAAGGTTAACCAATTTTAAAGCTCCGTCTTGATTACATAGTGCATAGCAGGACACTAATCCAGAAACACTCTTTATATCTCCAACATACTCCAACAGGCACATTTCTCTGCAGCAATTTGTACATTGGACTACTCCAACAAATCCATAATAAAGACATTAAAAGGCTAAAAAGAGACAGTAGCTCACCATGACCAAACTTTTCTGATTCCATAAAAAAAAGGCAAAAAACCCCTACAAAATGCCATTATGTTTTCACAGTATGGGAAAAATCTACGATGACCCTTGGTAGTTGGATACACGCGACATCTTGGTTCCCAAGAATACTTAAATGCAAGCTAGTTTTAAATATCAAACTCCAATACTACTACAGTATGTCCTCTTTCCCAGTTGGATTGAGTTCCCAAAATTATAAGGCAGCTCTGGACTCTCAAGTGACTTCCAATAAGTATGCAGGTATAAGGATAAAGGACTGTAAACCCTGCTACTCAGAAGTAATTTTCCTGCCAGAAAGCCTATGCTATGTTCTACCTGTATAGTAATTGTAACTATAAAAATATAATACAATTTATTGCCCGTTGCAGTTTGACTAATCAGAACTGACATTTTAACCCACATCTATTAAGCTGAGTAATTTCCTGTGTAACACATTATGGCAGTAAAAGGCACCTTAGTACAATGACAAGGATGCAAAGGCATCTTCCTACACTGGCTTCAATCCAGTCCTCTAATGAATCTGTCCTTTATTAGGCTTTCTTATACCTTACAGAATGGCCCCAAAAGGACCACAAAACGTAAAATACAATCTGTTCTAATAAGACTATGCAGGTAACATTTCAATTATACTGTATATGTAATGTTTAATGGGTTCACTGGATATGCATTCATGATAGTTAATATTATTTGTAGATTTTGAGGGCTGGTATAAGAGAAGAGGACAAATACATTACCAGGTCTAAGTTACTGAGTGACCTGATCAGAGGTCATGGTCATAAACATATTCCAAAAGTTTATATTTAACATTGCAGTCCAGTAATTTTAATAAGTTAAGTCAAAACTCCAGACAACAAATTAATGAATCAGTGAACTCCTAAAAGTAAATTGGAAGTATTACCACTGTGAAAACGTAATTGATAACTTAATTCAGTTTCCTCTAAAATGAACCTGTGCCCCATAATCAGCATTGCAGTAGTAGGTTGCAGTATGAGCTCTACAACAAGCCCTTGACCTCTGTATCTGTATACACTGTGAAGTAATTCATCTTCAAAGTTAACAGAAGTACCAAACCAATTCAAACTGCTTCCCCCTCCCAGAGCCTGTGCTCTGTGTTTCCTTTAAATGTTAAAGACTGGAAGGCTGCCTAGTTATTTCTAGTAGGAAGGAAAGTGTGAGCTGTGAAGCTGAGAGAACAACAGTTTGGTAAAGCTGAACTGTAGGGAAAGTAAAAATCCTTCCTTGCAATGGGGTTACCCCCGCACTGCAAGGGATAAGGGAATGTTCATTTACATCTAGTGAACTTGCTAACGCAGTTTTCTTACCCGATCCTCCACTTCTGCAGGCTCCACTGCACTGCAAGTTTGGTCCCCGCAATCTGATCTCCCCTATGCTGTGGTGGGTGGATTCCCCTGACATCAAAATCAATGCAGGGCCTAATGCACTAGACATGAGGACACAAAGGAAAAGTCCACTACCAGAGTATGGTGGAGCGTCATCTACCGAGTAGATGCAGGATCAAGTAAGTAAAACTCTTTTTTTCTCCCCCACTAAATGCAAACAAGCATGTAATCTTTGCAATTCAGGAGCATCCCCACTGCAAGGGAGAATTTTCACTTTTCCTGGAGTTGGACTTTAAAAATATGAAAATACTTGATTGTCCACAGCCTGAACACAGGTTCACCTTAACACCAAACCTTTCATAACTATGGCAGAATTAGGAAGAATTCACTGTTGGGGAATACATTTAATGGGCCATTGCCTGACTCAGCCCACCAGGCTCTATCTATAACTAAAAAAATTGTGGAAAGACAATCCCTTTAAAGTGGAACTTCACCCAAAAGGAGAACTTCCACTCATTCCCCCCCCCAGTCCCCTTTTACCTTTTGCCACATATATTTATGGGGGTTTTGCAGTTCTCCTCCCCCCATTCCTGCCTGCATTCTTCCGAGACATGTCACAAGTCCCAAAAGGCTTCAGGGCCATTCACTCCCACATGCGCATTGGGCAGCTGGCTGTGAAGTCGCAAAGAGTCACAGCAGGTTGCTCACAGTAAAGATGTAGGAGCCGGGGACCAAAGACCGGTGAAGAAACTGGCTCAGGTGAGCACAGCGCTGTATCCATGGGCTGAGTATCTGTTTATTAATAGTCAGCAGGTACAGTTTCTGAATAGAATAGAACTTCAGAATAGACTGAAGAACCGTTTTAAGATCCCACAATACATCATTCTGCTAACTGGCCAACCTTATAGAATTCTTTGTTTCAGTAAAATGAGCAGATTTCAACATACATACATTTACTGTTTTTTCGAATGGCAGACACATACTCCCATAGCACAGTATATGGTTTTCTTAACAGAAAAAGGATATTGACATGAATATATAAAATTTCCTCTCTACAGTAGTCCACTACAATGGGATTGTCAAGGGATGTTTACAACCCTGAGTCTGGCTATATTTACTTTCTCCCCTGCTGTGAGCTTTACTATTTTTAGCACTGGACTTCCTATTACATAAAGGAGAACTAACGTCAGTAAGAGAAAAAAATTTTTTCCAAAGGATATTATACATGAAATTGGGTGCGTAGGAATAAAAATGTTTTGTGACATTTCTTGTAGACCTTTCCTGTACCTCACATTTCAGTTGTACAACATGAAAGTTAACTCACACGCCGAAGGTTGGATTTAGAACTTTGCTATGCAATACTGCACATACATTAACGTGAGTTATGTTGCGTGCTAAAATAGGCTTCTGTAAGGCAACCAATTCAAAATGATACAACATAACAGAGGTTAAATGCACTTGCAGCTTTTTTTTTCTCAGCACAGTCAGAGGTTCCTTAAAATGCAGGTTTCTTGTGGTGCATTGGGATGTCTACTGGGGAAGAGGGGGCCTATGTGGAATGAATGACACTGCAACACACCACACTGTGCACGTTTCCATCCATTGTTTTAATTCAAAGATGCAAACCCCAAATGAATTTCAGCCTAATCAGAGTATAGCCTGTGAAGATCAGGACTGAATCAGATAATGTCTTCCTATGGGTTGATAATGTGCACTTACAACCTGTGTGATGAATGCCTTAGATTTAGTAAATGGGTCCTTGTGAACACAGGGACAGGCAGTTATTTTTATAAATCTGCCTGGATAAAAGGTATGGATGGCCAGTCCAAGTTAAAGTGTCTTGCTTAAATACATTCAGTGATTTCGTAATCTACATTTAAGAGCTTGGTCCACTAAATAGTGATTTTACAGTTGACCGTTAATACAGATTGGCTAAGTTAGCCCCTGGCTGCTCCAACAGTGAGATGTTCCTGGCGCAATGCCCAATCCTGTTCTTGTTCACCTGGTTGTTTATGTGTTCCAATTCTTCTTGTTACATTCTTCATCATATAAAGTAAGAATAATTTATCCAGCAGGTGTCCAGATACAGAAACTCAAGCACAGATATTCCATCAATAGAGTATCCAAAATAAATAATAAACTGTCAGGTGGTTTATCTCACCAGCATCTACCAAAAAACTGAAATTTCACTTTTAGATGCTCACTCAATAAACCACCACATGTACACAGCGGAGCCACACACTGATAATGTTACCCAGTAAGTCATTATTTGGCCAAAAGCTAGTTTCTCAAACAGTCCCAGCCTGTCAGCCATGTCCCTCTTTAGGAAGCTGGCTTTTGGTCAAATAAATACTTACATGGTATCTTTACCATTGTGTGTCTCCGGAGTGCACTAGGGGTAGTTTTATCAAGTGAGGATTTATTCTTTTGGGACAAGCACCTGACTTCCTTACAGCTTGACATATCAGTAACTGGACTTGGATTATCGCTAACCTTGAAGATTTCATCAGATTTGGGTGGACTGACTCTTTAATCTGACAAGAGTTTGTAAAATTTATATATAGTATGTCTTCAATTAAAGTAACAGGTTCACACTTTACAATTGGCCATTGTTAGAGTTGCTACATACCTGTATCCACTCTTTAACATTGTCTTCACCAGGTGTCCAACCATTCTCAACATAGTTCAATCGAGATCTTTCTGCAGACCAGTTGGTGCTGTACTGTGAGGATACGGTGATTTGATCTGATGTGATCTCTCCAGATTCCATTCCAAGAGGTTCTTTACACTCAAAATCTAAATACAAAAAAAAACAAAACAAATAACTAGCTTCTTTTTATACTACGACCTACAACAGGTGAATGGCCTGCTATGCCTAAACCAATGCCCTTGTTTTCACAGTATTTGTGATAGAACTCTTTTCGCTTAAAATATGTATATCAATGAATAATGAACTTCTATTAATTGCTCCCTTCCAGTCTGTTTAATATACCATTGGATGCATTCTGTTGTATCTGTTTGCATTGTATATGTGCAAAAAAAAATCCATAGCTGTCCTGTGTCCCCTGCACACTTTCTGTGTCATCTCTAACAGCCCTACGAGTTTTTATGTTGTACAAAAGAATAATTAGCCTTTATGTTGTAGAGATCTGAGAGGGGAGTGGTTGAGTAGTTTAGCCAAAGACAACGGGGAGGACTGACACACTCAGGCCACAAAACTGCTGTGTGTTGTCAGTTCACAATAGGGGTTTAAGAGGTGAGCAGGGGTGGACTGACAACTCATGGGGCTCCTTGAGCAATAGGGGATCTTGGGGCCCCTGTGTTTTTGCCCAAACTCAAAAAAGCCTATGAAAAAGGTACCAGGGGCATCTAATGGGGCCCCCTACTGACCCCGGGCCCTCGGACAGTGCCCGAGTTTCCAAATGGTCAGTCCGCCCCTGGAGGTGAGTGCATTTCTGGCAGACAAATGAGTAATTTTCTGTACTTGTAGGGTCTTTAAATTAGTAAAACATGTGGAAATGTGCTTGTGTTGAAGAGATATATTGTATATAATTTTTTTTAAATTTTGTCTTGACATATACTTTAAAATTATATTAACATCACCTGTTGTTTAAATAGATCTTCAAGACAAGTATTAACTTTTTTGTGGATTTTAGGACTGTCAAGCATGACACCCTCTTCCTGCCACTGGCTTTAAATAATATATGATGTTGTTGTACAGGCAATTGGGGTTACATTTGAATGCTTTGAAGTTTCACTGGCTTGGTATTATACATATTATGGATTCTAACCCAGCCTACTACGAGAAGGTCAGAACATTGCTCTTTCCTGACAATGGAACGGAACTGCAAATGGGTGCATAATCTGTTCCAGTTGTTCTTCACCAAGCATTCCTAAGGACCGAAAACATTTGTGACTGTATTATTACTGTATTACTATTATACAAGATTTAAATAGCGCCAACAGTTTACCAGCACTTTACAATATAATTCTCTCTTCTAAGAAGAACCAATTACTGTATGAATGGTATTCTTAGTAGAAGTGCCTATTACTTTATGTAGGTGGGAAGAGAAAACAATAAGCCCAGGGCTAAACAAAGTATATGCTTGTTTAATGGCTGTACCCAAATACCACCACCTGTATAGATCTTTAGCGATTTCATTTAAATATATACGTTTTGTGGGTAGTTCCTCTGTAAAAAAAGAACAGCAGACAATGTAGCACTTCCCCACTTTTCCTAGGCCAGGAAAGAGATAAACAGATTGGGGTGCTTGGCCATAGCCCACAACCTGTGGACTTCTAGGTCTCTAACCCTACCTATTCAAACGTTTTCATAGAACAAAACTATTTTTTATTATAATATCTTTAGATGTATATGAAATGGTAACACTATGGTTGGAATCTGACTGTTTGAGATGTACACCAATTCAATTGCAGAGAGAAAATAAAATGGGTGCATTTTTCTAGGGCTGCTGAGATCCCTATGACTCCTCTCAGCCCCTCTCCTTATTTTTAGGTTCTAATCCTGGGCTTGCTCACATGTCTAGATGTGGCAGCCAGGGCAAAAACGGTTAACAAATGTAAAAAGTAAAAGTACATCCTGCCCTGTAGTCCTACGTTAAAACCTACAGGTTTCTTGGTGGTAAATGCAGCCTAGTTAGCTATATCTATATACAGTTTGATGACTGATTGATTTTACTATTTTATTTTTTTATTGTGTTTTATGCTGGACAGTAACAAAACCAAAATAAGAAGCTTGAAATATTTTGAACTCCCATTTCTTCTTCTTCCTTTTATAAGCCCCATAGGATGTGTAGGTTGTTGTCATCATACATTTGTTTGATATATATATATGTTATGCTATAACTTATATTGTATATGTTTGGATGATGTAATAATGTGTTGATTTTAAAATTTATCAGCTGCTATAAAAGTTGAAAAATTAAGTGGATCCTAAGGAAGCTTGTGCTGGGTGAAACATGTCAATCCACCTGCTCTTCATTTTCATGGTCATTCAGTTGTATTGTGTTTATTCCACATTTGTAGCTGCTGACAAATATTTTTAAAGGATATTTTTTATTACCTGTAAAAAAATGTGTTTTTATGGATGTTTTTCTCTTTTTTTCTGTGTTTTCTCAAATGGGCGCATTAAAATCACCACTTCCCACATTATCCTGTGTATGTTTATGCTCTATTGCTTATTTGTTTTAATTGGGAATCGGATTGTGCCATGAATTGAGTTGGACAACCCACTCCCCCCCCTCACCTAATCCTTGAGAAGTTTGATTTAGTGTTAAGAACCTTGCAATGGAAAGCTAAGGCTGGAAACTGGAGCATTACCAAGCTGTTTAAACACATCTGCAAGTCAATAAGAGATGACAACCCAAAAAAATGGAAGAGTGTTCATAAAAGTGGAGCTCACACCATAACAACCAATCAGCTTTTATATTTATATCTCTGTGAAAATTAAACAGGCTATCTGATTGATCACTATGAACAAGTTCTACACAGTCCTCCAGTTTTCTATAAATATGTGTTCAATCGAAAAAGGAAAAAAAATTACATGTTATACAGGAACAGTATTCTATTCTAGAGGAGATCTAATTTATTTAGAAGTTTCTGATGTTTTATGTGGCTGGAGGGGTATGAGAATACATAACAATCTCCATAGTTACCAACCTTCCTCGGCATTGCTCTGTAACACAGTGTAGTTAGCAGAAAATCCTTCTTTGGCTATAGCATTGTCCGTGTGAAAAATCATTGTTAGGATTCCGGTGGAGGAACGAATACGTCCTGGCGTGTTCTGTCCACAGTAACGTCCAATGTAAGGCCCCACTGTAAAAATAAAGGAAATAAAAGCAGCTTAATAAAGATGGAAATGCTAGTCGGTCATTAAAAATCATTAAGAATAGGAATTTTAAAATATTTTAAGGAAAGAAGGATTAAGGAATAATTCCAGACCACAGTTGAAAGCAATACCTAAACAATTTATGTTATGAAATAACCATGTCTGAAATCAGACAGTTCACTCAATTTACCTTACAACCTGAGTTGCATATAATCCCTACAGTTGAATTTTCGCAGACCAGAAAAGGGTCTGTTTACTCTATTTTTCTGTTTCCTGCATCAACAATCAAATTTAAACTCATGTTTGAATCTGAAAAACTATTTAAAGGGACATTAAATGTAGAGTTAGGCTCTAAATAGACACTCACACATTTGTCTGTCTAGCTGTCATTCCTCTGCCTATATATTCATCAGGAAAACTGATGCAAAACACAATAACCATTGTGCCCAACTAAAGCTTTTACTTTATAACTTGAAGGATTCTAGCTAGAATTGACTGGATGCAGATGTATTTGCAGAACGTCTACAATGATGAACAACCTGCTACAAGCTTTCCGTGTTCATGATTCAGTTATGAATAGCTCAGTAACAGGTAGTTTCGCTAGTATGTACTCAGCAATGCGGAAATTGCCTATCCACAGCCTAACTAGTGTCTTGACCCAGGCACCACTTTTGTTCCACTACAGGCAGGACCTCAACTTTTTGGCCACTTTATATTTTTATTTACACTACATTAACTTAAAATATTAAGTCAGCATTGAACAGTAAGGGAGGCATTAGGAGAAATGACTGGGGGTACTCCATGTTTGAGTTATGCAACTGTAGGTCATTCACTGGGCAGCATCTTCAGCAAATTCTTCAGTAAAATCTAGCCATGCTCTAGTACGGGTGTCGGCAACCCGCGGCTCCAGAGCCGCATGCAGCTCTTTTTCACCTTTGCTGCGGCTCCGGAGCACACTGCCCACCAGGTGACAGGCAATAGGGTTGCTGTAGCTCAGTGGTCAGCAAGCCGCGGGTCTTTACACATTTTAATGCGGCTCTTCTGTGTGCCGGGCGCCCGCTCACCTCCCTCCTCTCGGGCGGCCACCCCAAAAGTCAGGACTCTGCAGCTAGCCCAGCAATGGGCAAACTACAGCCCGGCGGACCTTTTAATCCGGCCCGCGGAGCGTGGCAAACATTGGCTGTCAGGATGTAGGCGGGGCAGCGTGACGAACTCCTCTCCTCTCACAGTCCGCCCTGAAGACCGGAACGGCGCGGGAACACGGCGAGAGGAACGCGCGGAGCAAAGGTAAGTGAATTGACACAATATGGGGAATGAATTACTATAGGGGGGATGAATTACTATATGGGGGATGAATTACTATGGGGGATGAATTACTATATGGGGGATGAATTACTATATGGGGGATGAATTACTATGGGGGATGAATTACTATATGGGGGATGAATTACTATGGGGGATGAATTACTATGTGGGGGATGAATTACTATGGGGGATGAATTACTATATGGGGGATGAATTACTATGGGGGATGAATTGCTATGGGGGATGAATTACTATATGGGGGATGTATTTTCAGTTTTAAAAATGTGGCTCTCAAAATAAATTTCAATCGTGGTTTTGGCGAGATTTGGCTCAGTTGAAAAAAAAGGTTGCGCACCAGGCTATGATTGTGATTATGACGATACACTGTGGCCCTGATTAACCCTTTGCTTACTGGGCCCTTAAACCCCCTTCATGACCAGAGCGCTTTTTGCAATATATGGAGTGTCGGATTTGTTTTAAATGTTGCAATGGTTTTGCGGCTCCCAGTCTTTTTTTCCCTTCGGAAACGGGTCCAAGTGGCTCTTTATGTCTTAAAGGTTGCAGACCCCTGCTCTAGTAGATTCAAACAAATGTTTGTACAAACATTCTCAATACATTTGCTGAACTGACGAACGTCATTCAAATGTACTTCAAAATTTTGTTAGTTTTTAAAGTTTGTTTTTGAAACGAATGAACTTTGCTTAATGAAAACCATATTCACTCTTAGAAATTCATTCATTTGAGAAAGAAAATTTCTTTCTTGCTCCTTTGAATTTTCTCGCCAATGCCATCGAAAAAAAAAACATGGTTTTGACCCCACTAACGATTAGAAAACTGACCAAACGTTCATAAAACAAAACAAGTTTGAAAAAGTTTTTTCAGAGCTGCTGTAAGCCACATAATCTCCTGCTAGGCCTGAGTCATGTGACCTGGAATTGAAGCACTAAGCCAGAATTTTTTGTGGACTTTACCCCTAATGTGTTCCCAGTTGTTTAGAAGAAGAAGGAACCTTCCAAAAGCTAGACTGCAATTTCTTCAATGGAAAGAATTTCTTTTCCACTGAAAGAAAAACATTCTGGTGCCACCATAAAAATAGGCTGGAGACCACTTAAACAATAAAGAGCAGCCATTGAACTCAGGTGCCTACTTTGACATATAAACAAGTCCAGCATTGAAAATGGAACAAGAAGGACATTGTTTATCTGGAAGCTGTGATTGAAGAGTCTGTTCATGACTCTGTCTAATAATTCTAAAGGACTTATTTGGGACGTCTACATTTAGATTGTCTGGATTTTGCCCCCTGGACATCTCAGATCTTTGCTTTCTGTCTCTGTGAACACTGTACATTCAGAAACTGATGGGCCAACACAATACAAAGAAGTATTGAATTTGTTCGTACAGGGATTCCTAGACAAGCTAATGCAATATCGATCGTCAGAACATG